GATGGCCTAGGGGGAGAATTCATTTAGCTTAGGCTAAAAGAGGGATAGACTGGAGGCTTAGTCCGGCTGTTCATTTGCAGTAAGTGGTCCTGTGGTGGACCTGCTCACTCCCTTTCTCTTCAGTCAAAAGAGGCTTGGGGAATCCTTGAGCCAAGATCCATCCTCTTGCAGCCTCCCCTACCCCCACTTCCCCCTCAGCAGCACATATCTTACAATGTGAATAAAATGCTGACTTAATCTTTCTTAGAAAAATACCAGGGTAGATTCCAAACCACCTCCTTTTCTGATGATGCAGGACAATGTTGCATCTCTTGTGCTCAAAATGGCATTTTCAAAGTCTTCCACCTCAAGGTTTTCAAAAAGATATTTTAAGAATAACAGTTCCATTTTTTTGTACTATGCTGTCTACTTCAGTCCCGTATGTCACATGATTCTACCCCAGTAATGGAATCACTTCTGGTGAAATGTTTTAATTTGTTTGGCCGCATCTGCAGGAAGGAGTTGGAAGCACACTATCTGTTTTCAGTCTGCTACATCTAAACAGGGTATATGAACAGAGAGAAAATGTGGAATTTTCTGTCCTCAATGTTTGGAGCTTTTCAGATTCCCTTATTTTTGACCAGTAATGATGGGTGTGCTTGAAAGCTGATGCTTGTGAAAGAGAGATGCTCATGAAATCTGAAAATGAAGTAGGTTTTTCTATTACACCAGTTTTGCAAAATAGCGGCTTTCTTTCCCCACTCAGTTTCACCATAAGCAAAAGATTACTTTCATCAGTGATACTCCTTTGCATGAATTTTATCCTCTGAGTGGTAGTCTTTCTCACATATTTGCCATCAGGATATGCTGCATCAAACCCACTGCTTTGCAGAAGTAGGAAATGTACTGGAAATTAAGCAGTGATGATAGCACTTGCATGGCATGTATCGTTTGAAATTGTTTCCCCCCCTACTCGGTCAGCCCTGTAACTCCTAAAAATCCTATTTAACATCTTGCCACTTAGTTTTTAAATGGTGCAAAACCTGGAACAAATTTTGCTGCAGTCATGATAGCAGGGTGGCAGAGGAGTATTGCTCAGAGTACAGCAGCAACAGCCTCTCTGGTAACACTATATTATCCCCTGTGGGCTGTAACTCACGTCACAAATAGAGACTTTAGTTTAAGCTTTTGGTTATAAAATCTGAAAGAACAGATTCTTCTCTTTTCAGCAATATATGAACTTACGATGAGCTGCCCCTTTTTGCAGACAGTCTGAGATGTATGTGACTGCCTTGCAAGAAGCATACAAATTGCCCACTAAGGTCAGTGATATTGGGATATTATGGATGGCTTCTGTCTATTTAAATGGTACCTCAGTGGTGAACTTCAGCAGCATGCCCGAGTCGCCAGCAGCCACGGCGGGCTCATAATGCAAGCGTAGTCGCTGTCGGAGACACACGGTAGGCAGCGCTGAACCTTGAAAGTCAGGAGCAAACATAAAAAAGGGGAAGTGCACGTGCTGTCGCTTACAAGGAAAACCACATGAATCAGGAAGAATTAGGCATATTCTTCATTTGAATCATTCTGCTCTTGTAATTTGACTCTGGCAATGATGCTCCTTCAAGAACCCTCGAGGGATGTTGAAGAGCCTGTAGCTTTGCATCGCCCTTTTGATACCGGTGTCGATGTTGCTGTAGTCCTTTGGCTGGTCCATGGTTCCCTATGGCCATCCATAGTCAGGTGGGAAGAAGACTTCTGCGTTCGTATCGCTCCCAAGCATGAATGGCACAGACTTCCTTCCAGGCTTACTAGTGGGGTCAAGAAATAATTCTATGAAGAGCGTACCACTGAAGAATAGTTGATTATAATGAGGCTATAAGTAGTGCATAAAACAAACACCGCCATTTGAGAGAGCTGTAATCCCAGGACAAACTTCACAAATCAGGCGGTGTACCTGTGATTGCAGTGTAGTAACAAACTTGCTTTGTTACAGAGCCCTCAGGGTGATGTTCAGACTTACATGAAGGATTAATACATTGCAGAAGCCCAATTTAGAAGGTTAAAAGTGGGGCCTAAATGGTGCATAGAATATACGCTGTCTCTGTGGAGGACAGAAGCACACCTCAGGTAATCAGTATCATTTTATAGTAGCAGCTGAAGAGTAAAGAGATCTTTTAATGCTAATGGGAATTTTGACATGTACCTCAATGGAAATGGCCTTAAATGCCTGTCACAGACCACTTATATGGACATTCTTGAAATAAATTAGCCACTGCAAAATTGCTTATAGCAATACGTCAAACAACCCATCATGCAGCAGTGGAAGAGGCGTAGTGTTTAAAGTCTGAGCCTAAAAGTAGTCCAGCTATGCCCTCCAGAGAAGGAGCTTGGGAAAACATCACTTGTCAGTTCTCACCCACTGTGAATCTGGCTGAGGTTCCTTACTTAACAGAAGAAATTATCTGAGGGTATATCTTTCACTTAAAACCCATTTTGGTTTTAAGCACTTTCTGGTCTAGAGAAAGGCTTGAAAATGTAATGGTCTTCCCTATTCCCGAGTGCCTAGATATACAGCATATATATACACACCTGTGTATATATAACATCTATAAAACAAGTGCAAGCACTGTATTTGTTTTGTTCTTATGTTAGGTGGGAGGGAAGCAGGCTGACTTGTGACATTGTCATTTGTGTGGAGTGCATTAAACTATTGGAAAGATACCTAGACCAACAAGGATATTTGTCATGGTTTAACCCCTGCCAGCAACAAAGCACCACACAGCCACTCACTCACCTTCCCCCGTGGGATGGGGAAGAGAATCAGAGGAAAAGGCAAGAAAGCCCATGGGTTGAAATAAGAGTAATTTAGTAATTGAAAGTAATTGAAACAAAGATACTAATACGGCTAACAATACTAATAATATTAATATTACTACTAATAACATGTAATGAAAATACTACTAATAATAATAATTATATGTAATGAAAATAAGAGGGTGGGGAGAGGGCGGGTTGAAACGGCGGGTTAAAACAGTGGCCCATCCCCTGCTGCCCATTGCCCAGCCACTCCCCGAGCAGTGAGAGCCAGATCCTGAGAGCCAGACCCCCAGCCCACTCCCCCCAGTTTATATACTGCGCATGATGTTTGATGGCATGAAATGTCCCTTTGGTCAGTTTTGGTCAGCTGTCCAGGCTGTGACTCCTCTCAGCTTCCTGTAGAGAAGAAGCTGGGAACACAGGGGCAGTATCAGAAACTAGAAGATAGAAGCATTGCCTGGGAATTCTTCTCAGCACAAATCCAAAGCATAGCCCCATACTAGCTACGGCGAGGAAAATCAACTCTATCCCAACCAAAACCAGCACGATATTTCTGACTTATTATCTTATTATGGAAAGTTGGAAGAACTTTTAAAACAAATTATTACTGGTCTGTGGCTCCTACTATTGGAAGTAGTGGTAAAAGCTCTGTGAAAACATCCATGTCAATGCAGAGTGCTTCTGAAAACCTTGCTCTGTACAGTAAGCGTAAATTGAAAGAATTCTTCTGCTTCTGATCTTACTCTAAGTAATAATGATACTATACTTCTGAACTGTGTGTGTTCTACAGAGCTCACTTGACAGTATTTCCAAATTCGTTGCTCTGCGCTGTTAGAAGTTAGGGTAATTACAAATAAATTGGTTAAGCAAACAAGAAAATGCCCTTCCTCTTTTTTATTATAAAGCCAAGTATAAACTTGGTGCACATGACAGCAGTGAATCAAGCATAACATGTTGTGCCTGCGTCTATAACTAAGTAATCCTGATTTCAGTGCATGATATGGCAAGGACTTGAGTGGGTCTGACTGCATCTGAGAATACATGTACTCATCATATGCTTGCTAATTAACAGAGCAATTACCTTGAAGACGGTCTGTGTTATCCGCAGCCAAAAACACGTGTTGATTCAGCACCTTATTGCACTTGTAAGACAGTAGTTACTGTAGGAGATTTTTCTCTCTCTTTCCTCACCCCAGGTTTATATAAGTCTCTTTTGCAAAATAATAATTTCTGTCATCTTTCTCTCACTTTAGACAGGATATTCCCAAAGACACTGTCCAATCTAATTTCCATACAGCCAGCACAGACACTTTTACATTTTAATTTGCATTCAACTGGCAGGTGCAGCCTGTATAGAAGTATTTTGCATTTTGTATAACTTCATGGTAGCCTGCTCTCTTATTCTGTGTTTATCTTGGGGGGAAAAATAATGACAAGCTTCCCTTTTAAAACTGACATTTTATTTTCTTTGGAAGGAAAATAGTGTATTTGGCTTCAATGGGAAATGCTCATTGTTCCTCTAGAAACTGCATTCTCCCATTCTATTTCACCTTTTCTGCTGTAAACCCTTTTTTTTTTTTAGTCATAAAATAAACTTATCACTCCTGCCTGCATCCATTTCTTGCTATGAATTTGGATGGAGAAAATATAATTTTCTCCAAAGTGTACTTTAGTCTTCTTTGTACCCTATTTCAAAAAATACTTTAAGGGATGCAATAATGCAATTTTTTTTTTCCTGAGGTGACATCCTTCTTAATAGTGTTATATATCTAACAAAATCATAATCAGGGTACTCCATGGATTTTCCTTTTTGTCTGTTTTAGTGTGACTTAACAAATTCTACATGAGCCTTCTCACAACTGAGGTAGCCATTAGTGATCATGGTTTTTTGTTGTTGTTGTTCACTTTATTAATCTATGAGTAGCGCTACATGCTGTAGTTTTCTGTTTCTTTCTATAAAGTATGTTCAGGTATTGGCAACGCTGCAACATAGTGATGAAGTTAAAGAAATCATTTTGCTTACTGTTACTGCAGGGATACCAGGAGTAGGTAATGTGATGGTATTGATGGAAGTGACAATAATTCAACAGGATTGCATAACCGACTGAACTCTGCCATCTAGGTTAAACAAAATAGCGGAGAACGGCAAAGTGCATCACATTGTCAATAGTCTTCGTTTGTGTCTGGTGTGTTGGTATTTGCAGTGATGAAGCTCCAGGCAGCCAGTTGGTTACAGATAAGTTTCACATTGACTGGGACTCAGTGCTTGTCAACTCTGATAATGTCATCGTAGCTCGGTTTGATGGCAGAGGGAGTGGATTTCAAGGCCTCAAGATTCTACAGGAGGTCCACCGATGCTTGGGATCTGTGGAAGTGAAGGACCAAATAGCAGCCGTAGAGTACGTATGTGCAAACTTTTTCTCCTTTTACCCTGCTTCCACTTTGATGAATGAGCGTTTTTAACTCAAACTGCCCAGAGTGTTTTCTTTGCATAGTGAATACCACTAATGTTTATTTTTTAATGCAGTTGCAAATTTTGAAACGATAATATTTTCATTACAAACAGCAAATTAAAGATCAAAGAGGTGTTTGCTTTTTGTTTTGGTGCTTCTCTTTGATAAAGCTGGCCTTCCTTGTGTAGTCAGAATACGCCAGCTGAGCTAATTCGTATTTGTCTATATTCTTTAGGAAAATCTCTTGCAGTGCACATTTTAATGTTTAACTGCATTTGTGTTACAGTATTTTAGGCATATCCAATAGGATTCTGCTCTCATTTTCCCCACAGCATTCTGGAATAATTGCACAAAGCAAATGGGAGTTACTGCGGTGTAAATGAGAACAAAGTTTAGGCAAATGCCTGTTATTTCTCATTTACATCATCATTCTTAGACTGATACAAAAGCACCAGCTGCAGAAAAGAGTTAATTTCCATCTTTGGAGTGATCATACATGGCGTTGACAACACTCTCTATTCAGGGTGTATCATTCTTAGACTGTTACAAAAGCAACAGCTGCAGAAAAGAGTAATAATACATGGTGTTGACAACACTCTCTATTCAGGGTGCACATGTCAAAATGGCTAATATCAAGGTCTGGATAGACTTCACCTAGGGGTTCTCAAGGAAAGACAGATTTTTAAGGTTGATGATGCTTGAGTCATCTCAGGAGTAGGCAACTGTCTCTGACATGGCATACCTGGGCAGTCGGGCTCCTAGTGTTCTTGTTGGTCAGGAATGGGTGACATGGAGCAGAGCAATTCAAGGTGACCCTTGTGAAAGGGCCATCAGAAGCAGACCATATACTGTGCTCTTAGAGATGGGCTCTCTGCTCAAACACCAAGGTGTTTTAGGCTAAATTACATCTGGCCTCTTTCTGGATGCACAGCATGGGGAAAAAGGGAGGGTGACCTTGGCTGAGAGGAGGTACTGAGACTGGTTTTCCCTCCTCAAAAGCAGTTGGATTTTGCCCTCAGATTACTGTGGTTTTTTTGTATAAAATTAACCATTGCTGATTAATAACTGTGATGAGAAATTTTATTATTTGGGTAATTATCCAGATTAAGAAACTTGCATTCATCTTACCTTCTTTTAGCTGTCGAAAACCTAGGCACCTGGTCAAAGCCAGTCAACTAAGCTCCAGTCAGTGCAAAATCCTGGTATTTCTAGAGGGTGATTCTCCTGAGGCTGAAAGACATTTCCAGCATGGGTGGGAAAGAACTGCTGTTTGAGGGTCTCTCTCTTCTCTCCTTTATCTGAAAAGCAGATGTAAATGGGCAATTTAGACAATATGCTCAATTTTTGATATGTGAAGTTAGGGGAGATGAGCCCAACACCAACTGCTTACCTTATAGAGAAAGAATCAGAAGAAAGTCACATTTCCCAGTGCAATAAGACTTCTGTTGGTGTAATTTGTTCTTCTATCTGCATGTATGACAGTACTTTACTGTATGAATAATTTTCTTTACATTCTAGGTGCAACAAGTAAAGTGCATCATTTTGCTTTACCAAATTAAAAAAATTATTTTTCTTGCAGATCACTGTTGAAACAGCCCTTCATTGATCCTAAGAGGCTGAGTATATTTGGAAAGGTACTGTGCAAAACCAGCAGGATGTTTCATCATGATTCTTTCAGAAAATATCATTAGTTCATAAACAAATATATTTATTTTCCTAAGACATTTTCAGTTATTAAGAAGGGGGAAAAAACCTTCCAGAATTTAGTCTAGTTCTGTATATTAATTTGTTTCTCAGAATGAATATTTGAGATCAATCAGATGAGTTTTATGGCATGGCAGTATTTGTATTTCAGAGTCTGCAGGAGAAAGTACTGGTTAAAAAACATCCGCTTCCTTTAGAAATCTTTAATATGGGCTTAGGTTTTGTGAAAGCTTGTTTCTTACACTTTTACATTTGGGCTGCAGTTGAATTCACAATGGCCTTCTAATACAACTTTTATATCTGAATGTCTTACTGACTCCTGAAGTTAGCTGAGTTACAACCCTGTGGTACTGCCAACAGCTTCCTTTCTGTGCCTTCTGCTAGAAATCTTGCTGTTGCTGTTTTGTCAGTTGGCTTCACTGTGTGGCATATTGTTGCCTCTAGCATGAAATAGCACAGGGCAAAGGCTTAACCTTTAGTAACAAACTAAATAGCATTTTACTGCTGTCTGATAAAAACCCAGCAATTAGAAACACACCATAATTGCTGCTTCCTTTATGAACTAGCATATGCAACCATTTTTCTTTAAAAGTGTTTTCTTAAAAATGTTGTTTGTACCTTTGACCTCAACGCAACAACAAACCATGGTTGAATACCTAGACAAACCCCCTAATCATCAGTTATACGAGCAGCATGCATTCCACTATGAAACCCCTTAGTTCCCATCCCCATTCTGCTACTGGCTTGTTTCATGGCTTCGGGCATGGCATTAACCTGCGTGTGTCAGTCTGAATGCAACGTATTTCCCTCCTGCATGGTATAATTTTGTGGGCTTATTAATCTTTGTGTAGTCAAAATGAGGTACTATTATTAGTGTTCCACATGAATGTGCCTGTCCTCAAAGATATGAGCTCCTGCCACATGCCTTGAGCTAAAGAAACTATCATTGCACGGGTGACAGTGGTGCTGAAAACAGTATTTGGTTTGTAGGACAGGAGCCAGAGATTTTTCAGCCGAGGATGTCGTAGGGCTGATTCCATCCAGCAGATGAGCGTGACATACATTTCTATTCAGGTTTTAGTGCCTGTTACCAGTGTATGTGAAAGTACACATGCATATGAGCATCTGCATTTCTCCCTATCCTCTTCTCACAAATGATTGAAAATGTTATTTCTGAAATGAAATCACTAAGCACCCCAAATTGCTCACTTGTTTCTGACTTCAGAAATACTTTTCTTTGTTACTTGAAATTTTCCACTTGTTTTCTGTAGGAGATTCAGCAGTATTCTATGATTCTGTGATTCTATGATCTTGTTTCCTACCAATGACGTGATGAGACTGTTACCATAGAGCATTCATGGTATACACATCTGCCGAAGACTACCCCAAAATGTTTTGTCTTTCACTAAATATTATTGGTGATGGTGTTCCCGTGTTTGTTTTCTGAAAGATAGAAGAATGAAAAGTAGAAATGTGGGGAAGTAAAGAGCAAAAACTGGGAAATTCAATAAGTTTCAGCGCTGCTTTGAATTCAGGGCCATTTACCAAGTTAACCTCTCACAATTGTTTTCTACCGTCAAACAAAAATTCATAAAATTTAAAAGTCAGTTTTAGAATTAGGAAAAAAGTCTATTTAACAACTTCTCAGGGTTAATTGTATTTCCCTCTACCTACTTAGTTTAGAGTCAATTAGAAAAATCTTTAAAACTCATTTCCTTTCTACTGTGTATAACAATGTGATAGGAAAATTCTTTTTTTCTTTCTTTCTATGCAATAATTTGAGCTTACTGATGAAAACAGAATGTACACCGTTCTCAAAAAAAGATGGCTTTGGAATTGCTTAATGCTGATCTCATAAATCTGTGCTTGTGCGCACTGTCAGGGAGCTCTTTAAGAGGTACTAGGCAGAAATAAAACTCTTGTGGCCATCAGTAACATAAATCAGGCACAGGAGTAACAAGACTGTCCAGAACGGCAGAGTGTGGAAAATACCTACTTCTGACTGCCAGGCAATCTGCCAGCACCACCTTGCTCATCTTGGAGGGGGGCTACAAGCCCAAGTGACACACGATCCAAACGCCTTTCTGAACTGTTAGACAGCAAATTGTGGTTCCTTGTACTTTGCCTTTTTTTCATGGAAGGAGAAAGACAACTTGAAAATGACTTGTAGCTTCACAGCCAACCGGCTTCATGGAAATACAACAATTAGGTTGTGAGCCCAGGAATCCAGTCGATGAGAGAGGCACCATATATCCTTGCATCAGAACATGAGCTGTTTTCTGCACTGTCACTGTGAAGTGCTTCTAAAAATGTGATCTCACCGTGTCGTGTGTTTGTCCTGGAAAGCCTGGCTGGAAGCAAGGGCACAAGCACAAAGGAAAGAAATTCCTAGGAGAACTCAACCAAGCTCTTAATGAATACATGGCATAAATAATAAATAACCTGGCAATACCTAGCGTAGGATTAAAATTGTACTCTGGAGCTACTGGGAAAGGCATAAACAGAATATTTAACAAAAGCAAAAGTAGAGACCCACAGGCAGAGGGAAGTTGCTATTCTCTTAAACTCTTTGAATTATACAAGTTATCGGTGCCCACTCCGAAATTCTGTGAGGGCAGAATCTACTCCTGCACATGGACAGTTCTGGGCAGCTCTCGCTTCCCAGGCTGGTATTTCTATGGGAAAAGGGTAACTCAGTTCCTCACACTATCTTGAAAATTCAGCTCTTGCTCTGTATTTCCTTTAGGAAGTCTGTTTGGATTTACTGTAGGTTGATTCCCAAGGTCACTCCTCTTTGCTTATTTTTCTTAATTAAGATTAAAGGCTTTTCAAATACTCCCATTCTTCCACAGAAATCATCTATTCATTAAATATTTAGACATGAAGAACAGGAGCAGGCAAGATTCAAACAAGTCCATGAGAAAACTGTGACCATTTGGCACACAGATTTTTTTCATGGGTGCGCTGGTGTTTTACATTTTTCTTTTCCCTGCCATGAGATAATTTCTTCTTCTTCTTCTTGAAGTCTGCTGTGCCAAACACAAAACAACAACAAAATACCCGCAAGAATCAATTTTCCAGCACTTATGAAGGGAAAACAAAGATGGCAAATAGTTAAATTTGCAGAGCCCGTAATATATGAGAAAATCATTGATCCCAGACTCCACAATTCAGAATTTCATTTTCTGTGCATCTAGGATGATTATAGTTGTACAGATATGGATTACCCTTGTCATTCCAAAGAAGTCTGTGGTCTCAAGTTAAATCTTTTGTGTTTTCATACAAAGTGAAGCTTTCATGACTCTTTTGTGCCACAACTCTTCCCAGGGAGGTGTAGTATAGACTTTGCAGGGGAGATGATGAAGAGATGTGCCATAAGGACAGTTAATGTGGTGAGGCAAGGAGACAGCTCCCCTGCTTCTGCACCATCTCTCCCACCTTCTTCGTGCCGTCTGTGCTTCCGCTTTGTAGGCGCCTGGTGGGTGCTCTTATGGCCAGAAAGTGCATCTAGAGATGTGCATAATATCAAGCAATGTGACCACCTATAGCTTTTATTTCTGCAAACCAGTGCAGGAGCTGCAGATATTTGACAATGCTGTAGCGGAAACCTCTTCAATAGCAATAGGGTTCAGTCTCTGAAGGCTAGAGAGGGAGAGGGCATACTGCAATCAGTTCACAGGTTTCCCCATACCCATACTGTCTGTCCTCTCAGCAAAATGCTCAGTGTATACCAGTAATTAGCAAATACCTACCTTAAATATATTAAAAACTGAGTACAGATCTTCCTGTCTAGGCTTTGTTCCCAAAAGCCTTACCTTCGTTTTCTGGTTTGGAATTTTTTTTTTTTCTGTAATCATCAAATCTTTTGGGCTAGTCTGCCATGATGTGGAGCTTAAACTGAAATACTTTTATTAATTGCATGGTTTAAAGATTACAACCAGGCTGTGTGAGATCATCATTATTCACTCTTAAGTGTAGGTTTGCATTTCCTTTAAAAGCAGTTCTTGCAGATATAAATACGTACTGTAAAAATACACCATCAGATTAGCACAATGTCCTTTAACTTTATTGTTGCTAAAAAGAAATGAATAAAAATCTCAGTATCATTTCCATTGTTAGGGATATGGTGGCTACATTACATCAATGATCCTGAAATCCAGTGAACGGCTTTTCAAGTGTGGAGCTGTGGTGGCACCAATTACAGATATGAAGTTGTATGGTGAGTATTCCCTGCCCTACACCTGCGTGACAGTCTGTTCAAAACATCTTTTATTCATGGAGCTACTATCCATTGTAACTACAGGGGGATAATATACCAATATCAACTAGGTTTCACGTCACTGTTTTGTTCTTTAGTTTAAAAGAAAGGGCTGGGAGAGTTTAACAAACTCTGGGACAGTTTACAAAAACATGCAACAGGTCCGTTGTTGTTAACACCACTGATTTTTCCAAACTAGTTATGTTTCCCATTTCAAACTTCCCACTGATATTCAGTCAGGTACCCCTTTTCCTAAGAATACTTAGGCTATATCAGGTGAATCAAGACCTCTAATAGGAATTGATTTTTTTTAAGGTTAGTGGTGCATTCCTTACAAGATCAACCATATATTCTGGTTTTAAATTAAATATGGTATATTCTGGTTTTAACTTAACATCTCTTTGTTGGCTTAGTGGGTTAAATAGCTTCTCCCAACTCTAGGTCAGAACTGATGAGTTTTAAAATAGAGGTAATATTGATGAATTCACAAGTTTTTTGTTTTTACATTCACAGCATCTGCTTTTTCAGAAAGATACCTTGGTATTCCATCAAAAGAGGAAAATACCTATCAGGTCAGTTAGCATAAACAAGTAACTTAAAAAGACTTTTTAAAATTTTACTCTTAAAATGCAATCCAGTTATACCTTTGTGTGTGTTTGTTTGCTAGGCATCCAGTGTATTACACAATCTTCATGGTTTAAAAGAAGCGAATTTGCTAATAGTTCATGGGACAGCTGATAGTAAGTATTTACAGCCACAATTACATTTGGAGTCAGAGTTTTTAATAGACGGGCATTTAAAGACAGATTAGGCACACACCTTGCAAATATATTTTTGGTTTCATTGTCCCTCCAATAGAATTTTGTGTTTTATTTCAGTTCTCACTTCAAACTCTAAACTGACAATGCTTTTCTTTGCTGAATGTTGTACCTGTGTGTTCTAATTTATTGGGGACTACCATCTGGCTAGTGAAGGAGATCGTATGAATTAATAGCAGAACAATGGACATTTCTAATGGTTTGGTTTTTGGTTTTTTGGTTTTGTTTTGGTTTTTTTGTTTTTGTTTTTTTTTTTTTATTCATGGAGGTTCTGCTGTTGAAAGAATTAGCAGTACAGTTGGTGAAATACAGCACCAAACAGGGAAGTGAAACTTCTCGGCTAATTAATTACAAGGTAGTGCCAAAGCATCTTCATCTGAAGCTCTAGGGAACCTTTTAGTAGCACCAGCTACTAAAACCACAGTTTAGGACAGAGAATGAGTAAAACAGGATAAGTTCTGGAACTTTAAATGGAATCATAAGATGTGTCAGTCAAGAGTTGATTTGTAATTACAGAGTTAAATTTAACTGCAGTATATTTTTCTGAACTTTCTTGACTGATGTAGGTCTAAAGAACAAGCTTTGGCACAGATTACAGTGCTGCAAGAAGCTCCTCAGTACAGATTCACATGCATGCTACTTTTTTCCCTGGTGTTTTCCTGGTGATGTGGGATAATACAAGATTTCTTACTCCTCAGTCTGGAGAGGTGCAAAGGGCTGGGGTGAGAGTGCCCGGCGCACAGTTGGCACAGGGAGGATGGTACCTGCCAGCCTGTTACCCCGGTGTAACTTGTCAAAGCCGTGTTACGGATCCCAAGAGCAATCAGGGGGGTGCAAGCACCGTCCAGTGTTTCTTCCCAGGGCACGGGGAGAGGGACAGAGGAGATATGCTGGGCGACTGAGCAGGCGTGAGGGCCTCAGGCTTTGCTGATTGTAAAAGGCAGCAGCAATTTCTACCCCTCTGAACTTGGCACTGGAGTGAATTGGGACTCTGATAGATGTCTGAGCAATAGAGTGTGTTCACGACTAGGACTCTGATTGCCTGCTGCCCCTGCTTAATGTCACATCTAGTGACACCGCCCAGCCCATATGCAGCCTAAACTCTGCAGGGTTAGGACATGGTCATAAAGTGTCTGTTTTTACCACACAAAGATTAAGTTACTGATACGTTGCAGAAAGCCCATTACCTAAAGAAGTATGGGCTGCAGTAACCCTGTGCAAGCAGTAGAAAATCCAACGTGCTTTCCTTTAGCACAATTCTAAACTGTCATGATGTTCAAACGGAAGGGTTTTACACACCTCTAAACTATTGCAGTGTGTGTAAATCAAGGGTAGAGAGAGGAGTCCTCACAGAGGGCCTGGAAAGCATGGCTTCCCTTGGGGCTCCAGCTCCTTCTCCAAAACCTTGGCCGTTACACCCAGCATCACCGTTACTGGCGGGGCTCTGCGCTCCTGACCAGAAAGACAGTCACCTTCAGGTCTGGTAGTCACAGAGATTGAAAATGTTTTCAGTCAAAGCTGTTTAACTGATACGTATTTCAAATGATCTTAGCTTTTTCTAATAACGTCCAAATGTCGTTGTCTTGCAGCTAAAGTCCACTTCCAGCATTCTGCGGAATTAATTAAACATCTAATAAAAGCTGGAGTTAATTACACTATGCAGGTATGTGCAGCTGTGACATTTCCTGTAAACATAGTTCAACATTTAGCCTCATGTTGCAATTTCTTCCCTGAGAAAGGACCCTCCCTACCACAACTCACTCAGTTTGAACTCCGTTTAATCCTATTTTCCTTACTGTTAGTATGGATGTAAAGAAAGGTACCTTCTTTTTGTTCTTCCGGGTTCTTTCTCCTCTCACTCATCTTTCTTTTTTCCACCCATTTATCTTGCAACACCTTACAAAGTACTTTAGAGTCCATATGCACTCTTTCTAATATGGAGATATCACTATTTGAGTCCCTTTTACCCTAAAAAAGTGTTGGGTGACATAAAACTAGATGATCTTTAAGGTCCTTTCCAACCCAAACCATTCTATGAAACTAATTTCCCCTTACTTTCAACATTTAAATGTATGAAAAGGCAGCTAAAAGGCGACCTCTCTCCATAGCCATACGGAGGGTGAGGGACAGGCTGGGGAGAGCAGGACAAGGCGTGCTGCTGACATCGTGTCTGTGACTCACCGCAGAGTATGTGGGTGTTTCTGGTTGCGTTAAACTTTCTTGAATGTCTTAGAGGATGTGGTTTTGGGTCACTTCTCCAACTATCTCTGATGTCACATATTGCAAGCTTTGACTTTACTGAACCTTAGCTGAACCTGTAGTTTCCACTGAGGCTCACTGGTGGGAGCTCACATCAGGGAGGAGGCAGTAACAAGGGAGTTAGCATCACTTACGACTGGAAAAGGACCTTAAGTGTGAAATCTGAGTGGGTAGGATCCATTCCAGCTGTCCCTGTGATTTCAGCCGAGGTGATGTGAAGGCCTGTGGAGAAACTGGAAAGGGACCATATGTGTGAAATCTGGGTGAGTAGTATCCGTTCCAGCTGTCCCTGTGATTTCAGCCGACTGGAAAAGGACCTTAAGTGTGAAATCTGAGTGGGTAGGATCCATTCCAGCTGTCCCTGTGATTTCAGCCGAGGTGATGTGAAGGCCTGTGGAGAGAGGAAGAAGCTGTAATGACAAAGGTCTCTCAGCAGAGCCCTGTTGAACCATTCTCATGCAACCTTGTGATAACCTGAGTTTGAGGAAGCAGCTGAAGCTTTTTGACTCAGGCCACCACAAGTTTCTTGTCCTAAATTCTGAGGCCTGGATTTCTTCATTCAGCCTGCAAATTTTTTTTCAGACTCACTCATGAGAAATTTCAAGTGGAATTTGAGTTAAGAGATAAAAATGCCCACATCCAGCCTAGGAGACAGAGATGATGGGCTTTAGATAAGATAGGAAGATAGTTAAAAATGTGTATAAAATGGTTTTTTACTGAATGCTTAGAAGCTGGGATATTGAGAGGTTCCTAAAAGCATGAGGTAATTAATCATCATTGACGTTAATGGGCTTTGGATGCCTAGACACTATTGAAAATGCCAGATAAGTAAACTGTTGTAAGCACAATGACTGAGAATGTAAATTTTTTTCACTTCTGCAGATCCCACTGCAGTAGTTGTTTTATGTAAGTTCAAATTCCAACAGAATGAGCTTTCCTTTGAGTTTTATTAGCTTTCCTTGATGCTGTAAAACTAATGTTATCGTCCTGTTGTCATCTAAAACATTTTGAAGATCAGAGAAAGAAAATTAGAGCCCTAAATATTTGAAAAGCCTTTAAAAAACTATTTAATTCTTTCCTTTCTCCTCTGCTAGATCTACCCGGATGAAGGTCATAACATTGCTTCTGAGAAAAGCAAATATCACCTTTACAGCACAATCCTCGGGTTTTTTAGTGCTTGTTTAAAGGAGGAGACACCAATTTTACCACAGGAACCTGAAGAGGATGAATAAGGAAGCCTATTTGTGTAGTACTGAAGGGGACTTACTTTGCGGCTCAATAAAACCTTAAATAAAAGTGACTGTAAGATTGCAGGTTCTGCAGAAGCTCAAGGGCAGCTAAAGGATATCACAGTGGAACAGCACATTTACAGACAATGAGCTAATAAACTGGAATTCAACTACAAAGTCCAAACATACTACCAAGGGACAAAACCTTAACCTTTGTGAAGGTCAACAGTTGGTTACAGTTTCCTGGAAGAACTTAGTTTTGCATAAGTGTAGGGTTAGTGCATGTTTGTTACGTTAAGCCTCACTGTTGGTTCTGTAAGTGGTTGCTCGTTTTTTAATTTAAATGCACATCTTTATTCATCTTTGCATAATGCACAACCTATCATAAGTATTATGGCCACTAATATTTTAAAAGGTGAGCTGAACCTAACACTACTGTAATGTTACAATAAGTGCAATTCTTTTGCTGTCTATTACACATAAGAAACCACAGAGATAATAAAGGGCACGATATTTTCTCTAGTTTCTGCTCAAAGGGGATATATTGTCTAGTGCATCATAGAACATTGATATTGAAAATTGTTTTTTTCCCAACTTCAGCATTTACTATTATTACTGTACCTACTAGTAACCAATAAGGGACTTTTTGGTAGTGTACTCTTGGTCTTTATGGATATACCCAGGACTCCCTAAGCAGAAAATCTTTATGAGCTTGAAGAATTTTCTTCAAGACATAATTAACAGCTGTATTTAAAACAATATGTGCAATTGAAATCTTTCCCCAGCCCAAAATGTATCTATTGTTTCCTTAAAATATGTTTGAGTTGTGCTTTGGTATTGTTTATAGTAGTTAACAGTTTGCTGGTTACACTCTAATTTTAGAATATGCGACTTTGTCACATGTAAATTAGATACATAAATATTAAATTATAGTTTCAGATAAAGAAAATTTATTAACTACGTATAATGCCACTGAGTAATACTTTACTCCTCATATGAAGACATATTTTGTATAGTGCATCTTGCTTTTCTTCCATCTGGTCTCAAATTTAATTCTAATGTTCATCAAGGTGGCCATGTAGCCGGAACACTCCGCTAGTTTTTATTCCAGGGCTGCTCATTAAGTCTTGTGCAATGGGATTTAGATTCAGTAGCACCACAGAGAAATGAAATGTTTTTCATTCAAGGCAAAGGAAGCTCCTGACAAGTTAAATTTTATTATTTATTCAGAGGGCAAGCCCCTCGTACCTCCGTTTGTTTGCCAAGGTGAATTACTGCAGTAGAAATGGAAAGTATGAAATAAACAAGGCAGCCACTTTGGGTTTGCAGAATATTAACTCTGATCACTGAAATCAAGTACAATGTTGACTTAATTTAAGGTATCTTCCTGAAGGTGTGTGGAAACTCTTGACAGATGCTGTGCCGCTTACATGAGAATAGGTTTTTTTCCTTCTGGATATATTCCAAATACTTTCATTTCTTGCAAGTTTAAAAAGAAAGTAATTTTTTGAAGGTAACTTATAGTATTTAAGATGCAAAGTTCTGCATATTTTATGAAGAATGGGAATTGTTTTTAATGTAATCAAAAATCACCTGAAGCTTTTTACTCATTACTTTCTTCTGGAATATTTTCTTTCATGGTTAGCATTTTTTTATGATGCAAATAATTAATTTGTCTAAAAGGTGTGGTTTTATGGAACACTGGAAAGTCTCTGTCTTTTAATGTTTAGTATTTATCTTGTTTTATTAGCAATGTTTAACTATTTTTCAATTAGTTTAATACAATTTTAATGTGCAATGATATCTTGTCTGGGTCGCAGTGTCACCACAAAGTATGGCTTTACTTTGTGGCATTTGTAGTACATACGTATGGTATAGGTACAGTATATATGTATGGAGGCTACTGTGTGCACTAAGACCGTAAAACAAACAAACAAACAAAAAGGAAGAAATCAAACAAGGTTTTGCAAATCCTGTTTTCTAAGAGGAGCAATATTTTCAAGTCTTCTATTGGCTGGGACTTCTGGATTGTGACTTTATAAATTACACCCATTATTTAATAAAAGTTCACTTGACAATACCACGCTTTTCCTAACCAAACACAGCAAACTGCTCCTATTCCAGTTTAATGAGACGTTTTTCCTGATCTGAGCCAAGTGCACACAACGAAAGCACCACCTGTGTGCAGACGTTGAGCGTGCTGCACGGACTCGGCGTGCGGAGGCTACGTGAAAAGGTTACGGCTTCTGTAGGAATGCTTTTGCCAGAACTGGTATGTTTAAAAAGTGTGTTAATCTGAAATGTGGGTTGTCTGTGTGGAAATGTGGTATGTTTTTAATATTTCTCCCACTGTCCTACAAATACAGGTATTTTTCTATAAATGTGTATGCAAGGTTAAGCACCAGACCCAGATTAATTTGTATTACAAAAATTTTTCTGTGACAGTTAAATTCAGATATTGCAAAAGTATTTGCAGATGCAGCCTTTGATTCTGGTTAGACTAAAGAATTTGATGCAAGGGGATGTCCAGAGCTATCTCTGCTCTTGCTAACTAGTTCAGCTATTTCTTCCACTTCCAGCACAACTGAGTCTTGTTATCTGCCAGAATCTACATATGTAACTAAGGGCAATCACTCATTAATTAGTCTATGTAATCTATAGCGTTGATCAGGATTAGTACACATTGCATAGAAATGGCATGAAAAGCATAGACTTTTTTGTAGCTTATCCATCGTTAAGCACCGTGACTACATTTTAGGCCTGGAAAATTACTGATTGATTCAGCTATCCTTAAAATATGACACTTACTAGACTAGACCTATTAATTTACGGAAAGTTAGGGAATCAGCATATCCATTTACTGTTTGCTAGAGCTTATCTTCTTGATTTCCTCTCCCCTTTTTCTGCTATTAGGATTTGCAAAATCTATGAAACCTTTAGGTCATATTGAAATTTCAATTATGTTACAAAATCAAGAGTAACTGCATGTCAATTGGAATATAGTTTTCAACATTGTTGAGTACAAAGAAAGGCTGATTTTTTTTAATTAATTTTTTAATCTTTTTGCAGTGAGGACAGAATTATTTAGGACCTGGTTTGATCAATGTCTGCTCTGATTTTCTGTAACCAACTGCTCGTTGTTTCTATGTTTTTGGCATATGTAGATCTACCCGTGTCTGAAAATGAAGATGATTGCCTCTGTTCTCTCAACTCTGGCACTTCTTTGAGTACGGGGTCAGTTAGGTTTGTTTATTTGAGAAACTGTGCCCTTTAAGACAGGAGAGCTTGTATTTGATCTGAAGCCAAAGATTCTTCATGGAAACTTGAGTGTTGGCACCTTTTATAAAAGGCAGAGGATACAAGGTGTGTGACCTCGTGTCCCTCCGTGCAGGTTTATTAGATGTTACTGAAGAAACTGAAGCAAAAGGAAGACTGGCCCAAAGAGACTGAGTACCAGTTTCATTGCACGGCCAGAAACACACAGACAAGTGGTCCTAGCATTTTATGTTTACTTCAGGTAACTCCTGCTGTCAAGTCGGTTGCCTGTAGGGGAGGAAAAACCTCACCAGTATTGATTACTGGTACATCTTCAAACATCTTTCAGTACTGTTAACATCACTCCTCTTTTCCCTTTGAACATTTCAAGAGTGCTTCAGAGAATGGGGGGGCTTGTGGAATGTGGCTAAGGAGAGTCACAACATCCAAGGTGCCTGGAGCTCTGAAAAGAGAAAAAAAAAAAAGATTTAGTTACAATTCTACCTGTTGCATCTCATACGTGAAAGTCGAGAAGGAGCCTGGCTTCAAGGACGTAGGTGGTTGACAAGTGTTGGTGATTCACTCACCGGGGGGTTAGACAACCTGCTTCGACAAACCTAGTACCAAAATTTTGCAGTGGTAAGTATAAGAAGTGTCTGCTTTCCGATGCCTGAAAATGAAAGTGCTGTTTGATAAAGCTGATCAGGTGTTTGGACAGAATTAAAGAAAAATCAAACCACCTGAGTGTATGAGGTCCAAAGTTTCCATTAAACTTGGGACTAAACTTCTTGCCTGTGTAATTAGTTTAGAAATCCAATATGCTACCTTTATGTGAGTCTAACTCAACAACAACAAAATTGATTTAATAATGGTTATACCCCATGAGGGCACGAAGGATATGTACAGTTCTTTTTAATTAAAATATCCCATAAAGTGCTAACAGCCCATTTTCAGGTTTCATGACCAAAGAAAAAAGTCTTCCACCTGGTGCACAGCCTTTGCACCTCTCTGTAACGGGATCATAGTCCATGGGCTTAGTCCGCCCCTGTCCCTTTGGATCCAGCGCCAGTCTTGGCATTCTCTCATGGTAAAGGAACACTGCAACAGGAACTGATAGGCAAAGACATGAAATCATTACATCGGGAACAGGGAAAGTGGGGTGTTTTTTGAATGGCTAAGCAGCAGGGCGGTTACTCACAGGTGAGGGTGGGAGGCTGGGGCAGGGCAGTGGGTGACCTGCTCAAATGCACTCCAGCTGAGCAGGAATCACAGCTGCAAATGCTCTGGCATCACTGAGACAAGAAGGAAAGGGGGTACATGCACGGACAGAATATTTTGTCTCTTAATATTGCTGAAGAGTTGCTTTAGTAAAGTGCACAGAACAGCAGCGACGGCCTGAAGACGTTTGCTGGTTTGTTCCAGCAGTGGCACCTGCCAGCCTTTTCCTGGCACGTGCGTTTGAGAAGCAAAATAACGTGTAGGATCTGTTCTGGAGAAGGTTTTCACCACCATTAGAAGAGAGGTAAGAAAGAAGGGTGTCCCGAAGGGATGTTTTATTGCAGTATCTTGCTCTATTCAGACCTTTTGCTCTAAAATAGAGTGGTGTAGCATGTACCACAAGAAACGGTAACCTTAGTGATAAAGGTAGCCAGTGCTTGATTCAACAGGCTTTTCGACTAAAGCAGGAGAGCCAGAACAGTCAGTTATTTTCACAAACAATAATGGTTTCTTGTGGATTTTTACTCCTGTGTTTAAATTATATCCTACATTTCAGATAGTCATTATAAGACAAGAATTGTTAAGTATCATTCCACATTTGAAATAAGCCGTTACAGTGAAATATTTTATCTTGCAAAACAGTGCAAATTACTATGTTTAAAGCTATTTAGATTGTCAAGTTAACTGTTCTTCATTTTGGGTTGTAGTAAATACTGCACTTGTTGGGCTGATAATTTTTAAATTAGAATGGAAATTGTACTGAACTTGGACAGAGGGACTTACCTGTTTTTTTAAGAATTGCTCGTGAATCTGAATACCAGTGAAATATTTGAAGGGGGTTTTATAGAACATCATATGAAAAGTATATATTGCCCTAGGAATCTGAGGACCACAAATGGAGGAGCAGGTGCAGTCATTTGGCAGTGTAATTGGAATTAAGTAAGAAAAAAGAAAAGGCACTGTGGAAAATGGATATAGTCAGCACTTTCAGGCTTGAAAGGAGCACTGTGAGAGTAGCCTTGCTTCATCCTACACTTTTGGGTTCAAGAGCGTGCTTCTGAGCTGAGGCTCAAAGCAAGGTTGTGGTCAGATTTTTCAAACAAGGAGCTGAGTGACTATCAGGACATATCCTTTAGTAAAAATATATATTAAAAAATCAAACTAAGAGCTTAGCAATAACAAAATGGAAGAGCAGGAGATTCTGCTAGTTGCAATGAGCGGCACAGTGCTTTGTGGAGAGCTTTCAGCACAGTAGAAAAAGAGCGAGGTGCTGTTTACCCTGAGCGAAGACAGGGAAATGTGGTTCATAATCAGCATTAGGACAAGACCCTTCTCTGTCTTAATATGATGTAATGAGAAGGTTTCATTGCCTTGATATGCTGAGTATTCATTAATTATAGTAGAGACCAAATTTGTGGCGCTGAGTCCCAAACACATTCCGTGCTATGTAGCTGCACAACACGACATCTGATGAGACAACCATAT